TNAAGTCTAAAATGTAACATAATAAATTTCTAACATAATAATATAGTCCAATTTATAACATAACTATTTCGAATAAATAACATAACAATTTAAAAAAAAAAAAAAAAAAAAAAAAAACCGGCCGGCCGGCCGAACCGGACGGACCGGTTCCGACCGGCCGTCGTTTCCGGACGGCTTTCTTGCCGTCCGGCCGGCCGGTTCGGACAGCAACGGTCCGTCCGGCCGTGCTTTCCGGCCGGTATTACATGTCGTCCGGCCGGCCGGTCCGGACGGCTTTTAGTCCGTCCGGTTCCGGCGTCCGGACGGCTTTTAGCCCGTCCGGAACCGGCGACCGTACACGTATTTTTTCGTACCTCCGAATTTGACGACATTTCACCGTACACTTTCCTCTGAGATGTTTAGAAAAAATGAGAAGGGCAAAATTGTCCAAGGGGGGCGGTGACTAGTAAAATGGGGGGCGGTGAATAACAACACCCTAGTAAAATGAGAATTTCATAGTTGACCACAAGACACGAACTCCTAGCACGAGACAGTCACATAACCTGTGAGTGGCGCTCTGTCCTCACAACTTGGAACAAGAAAATTAGAATAAAGCATTCCGAAGTCAAACTCAGTTTATTTTAATCCCATGGCTATTTTGAAAAACAAAACCAGACTTAGTACCTCACCCACCACTACCACTGTCTCTAACTAGCCGGGATCAATTTATGAGCCCGCATCACGTCAATCCAATAGAAAACCGAATCCAAAACACGATACCGTTTCTTGAACCCCAATCCATCACCCTTCTCCCTACTCGCAAGCATCTTAACAGGACACCTAAACAGCATATCCAAAAATCCCCAATTAGCCAAATCCCCCATCTCAACCTCCACAAGCCCCTCCTTCTCCACAATCTCCTTCCAAACCCCACCCTTATCCCCCATCGCCTCACAAAACGTTTCACTCTCCGTAAACACCTCATCCTCACACTCCCCTTTCATATCCACCACCCCTAACCGGGCCCCGATCTCGCCCCAAATCTCCCTCCACGTGTAATCCTCCCCATTCGTCACATTAAAAGCCTGGTTCGCCACTCTCGGGTCCTCGCTCGTCGAGGCCCAAATATGCTGCTCCGCCACCAGACGAGCATCCGACATGTCCACGTGCATCTCCTCCCAACACTTCCTCGTGCCTCGAAAAACAAAAGGCAGATTAAGATACTTGCACACCGCGCCGTACACGCACACGCTCCCGATGAAGTTGAACAACGTCCTCGAGGAGCAGCCCAATATCAATCCGGGCCTGTGGACCGACCAGCCCACATTCCGACCCATCAGCCTCTCCCGCAACAAATCCTCGAGCGCGTAGTAGAAATTGCTTGTCTCGGTGGACACTACCCGCGGAGACTCCTCACTGTAGCGCCGGGCTTCGTCCTCCCCTCCGGTGGGGCCCGCGGCAATCGAGACGTAGTGCTTGGTGCCCGTCTGGAGGGAGACGTGCCTTAGGCGTTTACTCGGCAAAATGGAGTCGAGGGCGTTGGCGAGCATGGCTCGGTTATGGTCAAGGCAGTCGAGAGGGGAATGGCTGGCCCACGTGACCCAGAACACGTGGGTCACGTCTTTCAAGGCGGGGGAAAGCTTGTGGAGGGTGTGGGAAGGGTTGAGGAGATCGCAAGGGATGAAATGGTAACGGCCGGCCGCGCATGGGGTGGGGTCCGGGCGGCGGGCGATGCCGTAGACTTTCCAATCGGGAGACGAAAGGAGGGTTCGAGCGACCTCCCGACCGACGAGCCCCGTCACGCCGAAGATGGCGGCGGTTTTCGTGCTTTTGCATGTCATTTTCGGGGTTTTTGTTTTTCTTGTGTTTGGTGTAAGAATGCTAGTGAAATGATGAATTGAGAATTTGAGGGTTTGAGAGGGGGAATGTATGGATGTCTTGAAGAGTTGTTTATAGGCAAGGTTTGGCTATATAAAAGGGTAGGATGATTCAAAATAGTAGTTAAATTAAAATCAAGTTGGCGGGGTTATATTTGTAGGGTAACTAGTTGCGGCGGTCAATGGTTGGGATTNTTCTTTGATTACTTGGTGACCACCATAACATACCCAACTATGTACATTACACATTATACTGTATACTGTATAGTGTGTTAGATTTACAATATGAGGATATCAAGACAGTCCAACTATGTACATTACACATTACACTGTATACTGTATAGTGTGATATTTACAATATGAGGATATCAAGACAGTCTGACCATCATGTTAATATTTATGGGGAAAAAAAATTAATTTATTAAATATAGTTGTTTTTCCTTTTGTCCCTATTTGCTTTCTGGGATTAGGCAGGATATTCCGCCTTATCCTGACTTAATCCCATGTTTGGTTGCTAGGATTCCGGCCCTGGATGGAGTGCTCGGCCTGGGATAAAAAGTACTTTATCCCATGAAAATTTTCAAAATCAGTTTTTTATCCAACTAGCCAAAAGTTTATTAAAGTTTATAGATACAGCCATCGCTTTCGATGGACGATTTCAAATTATATATCATTTTGAATCTCTCAACTCGAACTATCCAACAGTACTTTCGATTTCATCGTATGATACTTCGAAGTTTGTCACAATCATCAATCAGGCATTCAGGCTTCCAAATTTTTTGGACAAAATGTGTCTCAAAATTAGACTGAATGCTATCAGAGATCTCATTGTTGAATTTTCATAAAAAATATATATATACGGAAAAACATTTTATTGAGAAAACTAATGGTGTCACGCGATTATCAACTGAGGACCCGATTAATGATTGCCCTTGATTGGAAGACCCGATTAATGATTGTAAGATATTAATGATTGCCTTTGATTGGAAGACCCGATTAATGATTGTAAGATATCATTGGATTCTTCAAGAGAATTGTGTTCTATAACTACAACTTTTATAAAATTCCAATGGTGGGGAGATAGTTGTATTATTTGAACTATTTTTTTATAATCTTCTCTTTCTATATAGATAAATTATTTTAAAAGTATTGTCCGATTATTTTTAGAATATTCTATAATAATTTTAATGATTTTTAGATCAAATTAGTACACCGTATATCCAAATTTTTGGTAGTTATATATATTTTATTGACCAGGATAATATGAAATGAAAAAAATATATAGAAAATATTGAATAAAAATATAAAAATATGAATAATAGTATAAAACATAAAAAATCACACCACAGAGATCAAAAACTCATCGCAACTTCGATGTCTCGTTTCATTCACTAATCACTATGAAAACAAAGGGCATCTCACGACAATTAATTAAAATAAGAGTTGTGACTTACATGCATGGCAGATTCAGCATCCGAGCGTATTAAGGTCACACTTCGGTCGATTCGCTATCAGATCTCGCACATTTTCCGTGAGGGGACCGCCCTGTTGACTTCCTCGCAGGCATTGGTTCTCCACTCCAGAGATGCATTCTTTATTCTGACGATATTCCTCTTCGCCTCCGCACCCTTATACGGATGGACCAGATGGGATACCCTTCATTCAGATTTGGGTAGCCGGTCTTACCTCTTGGTGCACCCGACCTCCCGTGACTTTTTACATGGACTATACCCGGACCAGGAGACGATACAGCTGTGTTACTGGCAGTTATTGCCAGCTTTCTATTGTTGCTTTTCTTTTTTTTGGCTTTCCTCGTTGTTTGACTTGTTGTATTTCAGATATTGGACTTGTAGATTTGTGACTTTTCAGCCCGTCTTTATATATATAGGTTTGGGGTATGGCCTAACTTCCACCCTTCTGGGT